TTTATTCATTATGAAAGCCTTTATTCACATGTCTACTATATAGTCTTATTACACTGACAACTGTAAATTTCAGTGTGCATATGCAATAAGTGGTCCACAAGAAAGAGAAAAATCGAAATGACCGATATGACTGAAACTCCTGCTACACATTGCATATATTATGGAATTAACTGGTTAACCATGCACTAAATTTAGACTGCCCCCCCCCCCATGCAAAGTAATTATCACATGATAACTGGTTAATAGCACAATAAATTTAGACCAGCCATAGGTACAAAGTAAATATCGTACCATAAAAATGACATCCATCTTTGTTAGTGCTTGAAAATGTGTAACAACTCTATAGCTGGTTTCTGTCCAGCTTTAATTTGAACGTATAGCAGGGCCCTAATAAGTCACAACACTAGAATTGATAAAGAATAAAGGACTTAGCCTCAGAAGCAGTTTTATGTATTACTGATATTTGTGTTTTATTCCTAGGGTCCTTATCCTTTAGAACATGAGGTAGATCCTGACCTGATTAATGCAGGTAAAATCATGTTAACGAACTAAGTTTTCAGAAGATGCTTATAAATTATTGGCTTAAAATATCTGTGTCTAAGCATAGAGTATGTTACTTGTAAATCAAATGCCATTTGCATTGTTTAGTACCAATATATATTTTAGCGACTACTGCTATATTAGCTAGAGAAACTGGGTGTTTGTGCTGTTTGGCAGCTGGTTCTGGCAACTGAAGGAAGCTTGAGCCTTGCAGAAGCTAAGGGTCTTCTGAGCTATCTCAAAAGCCAGCGGATAATACAGGCATTAGTCTTGCATTGAGGTTAACTAGCACAGACCTCGTAGCATACTGGCAGTATGTCTACAGGTTTCCACTAGCACATCCCAATACTGCACTTGCATTGCCAGCTAATATTTTGGATTTTTTTTCATAGCAATAGAGATATCTTCTTTGGTGAATCATGTTAGCTAGTATAGGTAAATACTGAATAATAGCCAAATTAGATAAAGCACTGATGTCCAAACAACTCTCTAATTTAATAGTGCACTCCAGTGACTGCTCATTGACATGTGAGAATATTTGTTACCTGGATTAATTAATTGCTTCTGCTTATCATTATGTATGGGCTATCTTTTTTTTTTCCACCAGTCCTGAGCAATGACATCTTTGCAATAACCTTCACAGGATACTTGAACACTAAGGTTTCACCAATAGGCTATTGCTAAAATGCATCATGTGCAGTGTTGGAGTAAAAGGCCAGATTCACAAAGCATTTATGGATGCTTACAGATGTGGAAAAAAAACCTAACAGTGCCTGCCAAGCATAGTGCTTGCCCAGAAGAGGAATCGTGTCAGTTTGACCTGGCTTGCCTAGCATCTGTATAGCTCACGTGCATCAGCGGGGCTTTTGGGCACTTTTATGTACTAATTGATTGAATGGGCTGATTTAAAAAGCCTCACTGAAGCACACAAGCTATAGAGATGCTGTGGTGCTGAGTAATACTGACACAATTCCTCTTCTGCTAAAGTGCTGGGGTTTTTTGTTTGTTTTGGGGGGGGGCGGGGGGAGAGGAAGGTGGGGGTTCCACAGTTGTCAGCCTATGTGCCTAAATTTCTGTCACTGTACAAACCCAGAGGTGCTACTGTCTTAGTGGATCTGTCTATGTCAGAGTCTGTCTTTCACCTGCTATTGAATATAGTGGGATTCAAAAGCTAGACTTCCATGCCTCATTCTTGGGAGCTGCCTTCAGACAATGCCTAATACATGCAGACACCAATGAGCATAGCACAAAGCAAAACAGTCATTACTGCTTTCCTTCAAAAACTTACTAACAGTTTTGGTGGTGCTGATGGTACTTACCTACCTGCCTACATTATTATGTGCAGTAGAACCTGGATCACTCATATCCAGGTGGTCTACAACCTGTTTAATTTGCAGTGCATTGCTAAGAGAATCTGCTTAGTTGTTTGCTGCAGCTTTTACTTCAGAGAGGCTGCAACTACACGTGCACTTAACTGTGAGTAGACTAATTAGCTGAGGAGTAAAATGTTATCGTCTACACATGCAATGCTTTAAGGCTGCAGTAAACTAATTAATGCTGCCATAAAATAATACCGTCTGGGGCAGTGCTATCTTACAACAAAGTAATTATCTGCAGTTAATCACGTGTGTAGACACTGACCACAGGCATAAATTGCACTCAGTCAGTCGAGCCAGCAATGGGCCAGATCCTGCCCGCCACCTAGCAACATGGCTTCACACTTTGAGCACCCTTGTGCTGTCCCAGGCGCACGGGTAAACTCTCACCCCGGGAGTGGTTTGCTTTGGCTCATGCTTCAGAGTTTATTGCTTCAAATTAATTTTACATGTAGATGCACCCTGCTTGTTGCTTCTTTGTGCTCAAGACAGTGCTTGCAATTAATTTATGCTTGTTTGGTTTTATAAGTGCAGGAGTAAAAATAGTTCATCAAAACAACAATAAAACATATTGATTAGGATGAAAAAAAATCCTAAATTGATAATGATCATCTGGTATTTGAAGTGTTCTTTGAAAACCAACATGTAACTATAAAGCCTGGATGTAAAAAGAAAGATAAGACCTTGACAAGATATAAAAGGTTTAAGCATTTATGTGGGTATCAATAGTAGCTAGACTTATGTTAAATAGTAACAACAGTTTTGCAAGATGTATTAAATGTCATACTACCAACTAGATATCAGAATGTGATTCAGGGGGATTAACAAAGTAACTCAGATTTAACTATTATGGGATTCCTTCACCTTTGTTTGAAGAAGCATTGTGATTCCAGTCACTGCCAGATAAATGATTTAGGATTAGATGGCTTTCAGATATGATCCAGTAGGGCAGTTCTGTTCATTTCAATGTATTTCTCTCCCCTCTTTTTCAAGATGGTTTTATTTAGTTATAGGGTGAATGCTGCAGAGACATTTTAAATCAGCATGAAATGCATCATAAAATAAATCTGTGACAGGCTCAACTCCAATAAGGGACTTGGATACTTAAAAATTAGGCATAGCAGCACCTTACTGTTAGGCACCTGGGACCTTAAATAGAATCCAGGATCCTGTATATGGGGAATGTAATCACTTGGAGAGAAGGGAACACAAATGGGATGCTGACTCTGAAGCCTAGTAGTTACATCATTCACCTGGGAACGAGGAGTCCCAGATTATGATCCATATTCCAAGGACTGTTCCAGCAACTGCAGGAGTTGTATCCCAGGGGTCTCCCTTCTCATCTGTGTGCCTTGACCATTAAGATAGTCATTCTCCCTTTTGCTTCTTGCTGTGTCCCAATAAATTTTGAATTCCTTGCTGAATACCTTTAACAGGAGGGGTGGTGTGTGTCCTCAATGAGGATAGCTTATATCCTGATGGAAGATAGTAAATGTGGGTGTTGGAGCCCATCAGTGTGATGAGGACCTTGAACCTAGGTCTGTCATATCCTGAGGGAGTTCTTTAATCACCTGAGGCTCTTTCATGAAATGTGGGCTTTGCTACTAACCCTGTATACCTCCAACCACATTTTAAAAGAGAGTAGCCATAACTGCAGACTGTGTTGGGCCTCCTGAAGCAGTGCATGTTAGGCATGCTTTGAGAAAAAAAACAACTGGATCAGGGTGCTCAAGGGGCTTAGATGTTCCTCTGCCTAATCAGGTTAGAAAGGAAATGTGTGATGAACTGCTCAGACTGGGGTAGTTCTGGGCACATGCAGAGGCAGAACACTAGGTACCTAGGGGCCATTACTATCAGTGAGGGACGTGTCTCATGGATGTAGACATCTCCTAGGATGACTGTTCTGGATTTAGATGCTTCGGTTCTGCCTAATTCCTGTGTTTGGCACCTGACTCCTTTATTGGATCTAGCCCTAAATTATTCTGGGTAAATTGTTCAAAAGTAGCTAAGTCCCACTGACTAGAAAGCATCCAAAGTACTTTCAAATTTAAGATATAGGTGTTTGAACATTTCATTTAAATGATATGGAGTTATAAACTCTGAATGGCAAAAGTACAGGGTTTAAACTCATTCCAGCTCAAGTCATTGGGAAAACTCTTATTGGCTTGAGCAGAATCAAGCCCAGAATGTTTTTTTAACATTGATTTTGTCTAAATTTTGCAATGTGGGCATCAGAGTTAGGGTCCATTCCTCTGATTTCTTAAATACATAATATTTCTCTCTTAAATAAACTTGCTACACCCTTGTGTACATTAAGCCTTGATTTTTAAGTGGGGTTTTTTTCTAACCACAAACTATTCACTTTCCAAAATTCTTACATCATATAAAGTCTTTTTATTGTAATTTAAAGAGTGCTTGCTTCCTAGTATATCTTTTGACTTCGGTTATATGCATCCTAGGCCTCCCTGCCTGGTCCTCTCTGTATTTGTCCCTTGCCAAATTTCTCCCTGGGCTTTTACTGTCCCTAAGTTGCTGTTTACAGGGCGGTCTCTCTCTCTCTGCTTCTGTGTGTGACAGCTCAGGCTGTACTTCAAGTGCCCCATTTGGACCACTGATTTTAGCTTTACTTTTCTATTTGGTTTGCACAAAATCTAGTATTATTTGCCAAATGTTGCCAATGTTTACAATGAAGTAAACTCAAATAATGGAAACAGGACAACATCTCTCCTTTGCCTTAAGTCTTCCTTCTCTTTCTATTCTTCCTTTATTTTCCTCTGGCTTTTGCTTTCCTTCTATAGCATGGTTTGTTTCTCGTTAGCTGTCATCTTTCTCTGTCTTCTCTTTCAGTTTGTTTTTTCTGAACTATTTCAAACTTCGTTCCCTTCAATTGTTGGCAAACCCCAACATATTCTTCCCCATGGCTTCCCTAGGCTTTTCAGCACTTAATCCCAGTTTTTTCCTTTCCCATAGCCCTATCTGATGTCTCCCACTTAGCTTTTCACACCCAGCTCCATCATTCTACCCATAATAATAGTCATTTGTTTTAGACACCCCACCAGGCGCTGCCTAAGCAAAGCAAAAATATCTGCAGTGTTCTGCCTGGATAGAGGAAAGCTGCTAGGAGTGAGGAAGACAAGGTTCCTTGGGTGAATCTGATATCTTCTATTAGACCAACCCAAATAGTTGGAAAATAATTATTAAGCAAGCTTTCGGGTTCAAAAACCCTTCATCAGGCTAAGGAAGTTTCAGCAGTTGGTGTGTGCTCTTCCTGGATGGAATGAGAAGTAAAGAAGCCAGTGGAGTGAGGAAGGCAGCTTTGGGACAGGCCTAGTTAGATCCTTCACCCTTTCCATCTAATATTCAACTTGAGTGCTGTATAAGGCTTTGTGTGCTCTGGCTGAAGAGGACATCCCGAGGTCCCTTCCAACCCTAATTTCCTATGATAAATTTGCTCAGGCATCTTGAAGAGAATGGAGAGGACCAGTTCTGTCACCCATTATAAAAAGGTAGTGTTAGAGTGATGTAGCTGAAGAGGCAAGGATTTCTTAGGGTGAAGTTGGGAACAAAAATTCATAAACCGGCTGGATACTAACAACTAAGGACTTAACACTGATAATGGTTTCACAGCACATTATTACCTACCTGATATCTGAATTATTTCCAAACATGGAAGGTGAGAATGATCCTCTCGCCTTTTTGATAGGCCCTGATCTTTCACTAATTAGCTTCTTTTCTCTACTAATTATTTGTCTGTTACCTCTGGCAATTTGTCTCATATTCCTGACCACTCCTACAACTATTTCTTTCTTTGCTGTGCTGGCTTTTACTGCTCAGACCTGATGAAAAATGTCTTGCATTTGAAAGCTTCTTTAACACTATTCTAAGCTAAGCAGTTTGTCCAATAAAAAATATTGTACTAAAAAATCCTTACCTCAGCCATTAAAAAGTAATTTCCCATGCATGATTTTGCCACTCAAGATCATCTTTATTTTTAATCTGTTCTGTTTTATAAGACATTTTTCTTATCCTGTCAGGCAAATCATCCCTCAGTTTGTCTACAAAAGTCTAGTGAGGTTTATAATAAGCTTAACATCAAACCTCAGGGACAGTATCTGTAGGTGGCACCCTTCTCTGATTTGCATAGTACTGGCTATTCCAGTTTATACAGTGGCATCTGCTGCTTCTTATGCTACCTAATAATTCATCCTGCTTGGTTTTGTGTATAGCTGTCAATCTAATTCAGTCTCGCCCCCCCTCCCCCCCCCCCCCCCCCCAAATTCCAAAAAGTATAGCGCTAATAAAATATCACCAGAATCTGAAGGATTTTGACATAGTCTAGACCCTTTCCTATTGGGTAAATCATGTGGTGATGCTTCTGTAAATGTAATAACTTGATTTTCTTCTCCCCCCCTACAGGTAAAGAGACAGTGACTGTTCTTCCAGGTGCCTCCTATTTCTCTAGTGATGAATCATTTGCAATGATTAGAGGGTATGTAACCACCAAACCATTAATCTGTTACACTGTTGAACAGAATAAGCTGAGTCACTAACTAAACTCATTAGTATTACTTAGAGATACGATTAGCAGCTAACAATATGGAACACTGTCATGGATTTGCTCAGTAATAATTTACAGAAGGATTAGGTATGGGTACTGGAAATTGAAATATTCAATTTACTGTAACTAATAGATGCCCTAATGCTGTTTGCGTCTAACGTTACCTAGCTGTATATAACACATTTGTAACTATGCTTTTAGCAACTACTTTTTTGCCATTTTCCAAGGATCTAATACGGACCCACATACTCTGTACTCTTTACTTAGCTTGTAGTCCTCATTCTACCTTCCTGATGGAAATTCAGCATCTGCACCTGTTTTTGTTTGTTTTTCAGGGAAGAGGTTTGGTACAAACAAACACTAAACCATAATGGCTCTGAAAAGATAATCAGTGCATGCAAATATGTGAAGGAGTGCACTTAAGAATATGAGTTCAGAGCTGATTTACTCTGCATGCAATTAACCAAAGCCAGACCAAAATAATAATGTTTCCAAGGCTCAGTAGGTAGACAAAGAAACCTGTACTGATGCTTTGTCTTAAGAAAATAATAAGTACATGTAGAACAGGCAGAGCCCCCACTGCCTCTGCTCTGCATCACTGTCTAAGAAATGTTGGATCTATATATTGTGAAAAATCTATATGTGAAAAAAGGCTTGTAGATTTGTGGGTTATTTGATAGTGTGTTCTAATTATGGACTTTATTCTTTCACCAGAGGCCATATTGATTTGACAATGCTTGGAGCAATGCAAGTTTCCAAGTATGGTGATCTAGCCAACTGGATGATTCCTGTAAGTAGATATTTGAACCCCTGAAAGAAAGGGCTTACATTCAGAACAAGATAAATGTCTTTTTCAGTTAATTTTTTATAGTACTGTGTTTCTGAACATTTTATAGAAGTAGTGCAGTTTCTAAATGGATAGTGGACAGAGGGACAGGTGAAGAGGCAAGTGAGAAAAGATTCTTGAAAAACAACAATTAGCAGTGCCTCTGTCTCACCCTTTTTTAATGTTTGTTAAAACTGAACATTTCGGAAGCGGTGGAAACATTTGATAGTCAACTCATTGCACCAACCACACCATTTCTGTTTTAAAAAAATCTAGATTTCCTAGTGACACCAAGGGCTAGATCTTATTCCATCCTGTTTGAGTTTCTGAGAAACAGGCAAGGTGAAAGATGACTAGGTTATTCTGCCCACAGCTTTTGTGATTCAACCTTAAGGCTAAGATAACGGAGTGTTGCAAAAAGAGGTGTGCTAACATTTTGCAGGGACTTGGCAAGAATAGAACAGCATGCTATGCTGGCACCTAAGTTCATTTAGATACCCTGTGGGTTGGAATTGGATCTATCCTCATGTGTCGTACGATGTGCACTTTTTTTAAAAATCTAAAGCAAGAAGTAAAACAAACAAGAAAATTCTTTAGACACTGTAATCTAAACCAGACACATTAAGAGAAAATGCATGTGGTTTAAGAACAAGGCTCTTTTTCTTCAATATTGCCAAGTATTTAAAAACAGTTATGAGTCAGACCTCCCAAAAGTCTCCCAAAACAATGAGGTTTTTGAAATAATAAATATTAGTCTTTTATTTTTCCTTCTGGGATTTGAGGCTTTCAAGCTTTTTAAGCTTTTTCTCTTCTACCCCAAAGGGCAGACTTATTCTGGTGACAGCTGGGATTCTTACATAATCACCTGACTGCAGGAGCTGGTGCTTGAAAAGAGCATCAACAGTTGTTCAATTAGTAATAAAATCTAGAGACTTGACAATGTTTATTCCTTGTTTTGGGTTTTTTTTCAATGAGACGAGCCGCTTTTGATGACTCTTTACCATTTGCCTCATCTCTCAGAACCTCCATTAGACATTTAAAACCTCATAACCTATGAAAAGCTTGCAGCAAAACCAAGTGGTACCACAAACTTTGCATGTTTTGAACACAAAACCATAAGTCACAGTCAAGGTCATCTTGGGAGTTATTGGAGCTTAGTGATTCTTTTGATGAACATGGATGTCTCAGCATTTGTAACAGTTAGACCTGGTTTAGAAATTGGGTACATACTTTTTCATGAGCTCTCAGTGTAGCACCAATACTACAAAGGAGGAAAGGATGTCTAAAGAAAGATGACAGTACAGGCAGAAGCTAAAGAATATCATCCTACAGCAATCAGCCAAAAAACATACTTTTCTGATAAGTATGCAAGATGTTGCAGATTGAGAACTTAAGAAAGTAAGGAGGGGAAAGGAGTCTGAGGGCCTTAAAAAAGTTTGTCACCATACATGAAGGTTGCCAGTTTTGGTTGAACATAGATATTACAAAACACTGCATTTCAGGTAGATGGTTTAATACTTCTCTGATAAAACCCCTCGAGTAGGCACGATACCAGTTTTGCTTTCCTATACAGTGAATTATTGACAAACATTTATTCTTGAATTTCATGTCAGTCAGTAAGAAGCATAGCTTTTTGCAGCTAAAATGCTACTTCTCAGAAGAAAAGCTTGAATTTTTGCCTATTTCCAAGGGTACCAGACTGATAATTAGAAATGCTTCCAAGGCAAGTTGCTTCTATTGTTATGAAAAGCAAGATCAGAATAAATACTCCACTTAATATAAGCGTATAATTTAGGATGTTTCACTGTGGTTGGGAGGGTTTGTTTATTTCTTTATTTTTCGTGGCTTCACACTTGAACCTAATATGGGGGAGACACTATTGGCGCATCCTCATGAGTGGAAATGTGCATTTCCCTGGGGACAAATAGCAGTGGCACATACTTGTGCTTCTGCTAGTTGTCCCTGGGCATGTCCCTGCACGCTTGCTTTGCTGTGTGGCAAGTTGCCCAGGGTGGAGTAGGGGTGGCTGGGGCCAGCACCTGGACTGGCTCCAACAGCCTTACCTGTGGTCCTGGGGGCCTCCTGGGGCAACAGCAGCGGTGATCTGGGTGCATAGAGCCTGCCTGGCAGCCAGAGCATAGCTCTGGCTGGCCAGGCTCCAGTTTTTAGTGGTGCACGCTTCAGCCACATGCGTTGCTCCGCTTTTTTCTGCCCTGGCAAATGGATTGGCAAGCACTATATGTGTTTCCTGGCTAATCCCTGTCATGCATAAACTGTAATATTTACTTCAGATTACCTTTGTCTTTTCAAGACCCCAAATATCCCTAGAATCTTTAAGAAATTTCTCCTAAGCCAAGTTTGGAATGAGTTGTGTTTTTACTTGCCTCAGATACAAAAACCAGTCAGCAGCAGCAACAGTTCTTTTTCTGTTTCAACAGCAACAGTAATATTAATTCCTTGTGGAAAGGAGCATAAAGCTATGAGCATTGGAAATAAATCAAATTATATTTTTAGCCCAGTATGGTTCCTAATTTGAACTAAGATGACGTTAATAATTAGTTACCAAGTATCTTTATGTAAAAAAGGATCAAAGAGTTGAGGGGCTAAGACCAAGGTTGGTAAAATATTTGAGCTTGGGTGATATGTTTGCTATACTTATGTCTTAAAGAGTTCACATTCCCTTTTTAAACCTAAGCCTGTTACCAGATGCATGGTGTGGGTAAACGCTTATGACTGTAATCCTGTAGATGGATTGAGTAGGATATCTTTTCATTTATATAAGTTTCCAAACCATTTTTATTTTTACTTGGCATTGAAGAAGCACTCTTCTGTCAGAAGACATAATTTTCTCTGATTTGCAGCTGTTGGGACTCTTCATTACATAATGCAAAATGAAACACTTATTTACTTGTCAGTTTTCAAAAAACAACTTTGAATCTTTGCCCCCCTGCTGCTACTGCTGCTTTCACCACTGCAGCAGTGGGGGCCATAATTTAAGATGACTCTCTAATAATTAGATTCTATGCATGGAAGGTTATAAGAAATTAGTAATTTTCATATGTATAGAATCTAATTACTGGTGGGGGGGTCATCTTAAATTTGAGGTCACCTTGGATTTGGGGAAATGTGGTATTCCTTGTTTTGTGGGAGGTCAGCTGAAGGTTTCAAAAGTTAAAAAAAAATCTGAGTTCAAAGAACAAAAGGTCTAATTGGGTTTGAACAGCATTTATATTTGAAGTATAGTAGATGGAAATGATAGCAACATGAACTAGAGTTAGAGCTCGTGGCTCAGAGTAACCATAGTCACTGAAGCCTGTAAGAGTTCCAGAAATTGTGGAGATACGTGGCATCTTTACACGTGCACTGGGAGTGGGGAGCGCCAAGAACTGCTCTAATTCAACCACCTGCAGTGCCTTGTGCATTCAGCATCCTACGCTTCAAAATGGCAATGGGGGTCCTTTAACTAAAGCTCGTTCGACACCATTTTGAAATGTGGGGACACTGAATACATGAGGCGTGGAGGCTGCTGGAGCATGCCAATTAGTACGTTCCAGCAGACTTGATTAATTGTCTTTTCCAATGTACTGTAATTGCAGCATGTTGGAGCAGCATCCCCACACATCTACAGGCACCCATTAGGACTTATGGGCGAGGGGTACATCAGTCTGCAGTAAGAAATCATAGTCATGCTTAGAGCAAGTTTTTATAGCTGCATGGTCCCTCAGTATTAGCATATGTATTGCAATAAAACCAGGGATTAACATCTTGTCAGTGCGCTGAGCCCTGTCAAGCAGTTCTGAATGGTGTCAATTATATTTATATTTCAGTTTTATCCCTCAAGAAGATGGCTACTTGGTTTTGCTTTAACTTTTCTAGGTTTTTTGGTTTGTCACCTGTCCTAGTCTTGTGATGGTACCAGGAGACCATGAGATTGAGGATTTTGAAAAGGGGGCTGCAACCCTATTCAGGTGCCAGCCTATTCATCCTTTGTTGAGAAGGGTGGGGGGAAGCAGCCTGACAAAAAGGGTTTTTTTCTGTGGGCCCAGGCAGAGCCCCTTGGAAACTAGGGAGTGGTGGGACAGGGAGCAGAGAGTGTCCATGTCTGTACCACAGCAGTGTTGGGGGAGCCTAAGCCATGGCAGGTAACACCATTGCCATTCAGCATAATGCTCCATCCAGGGTACATTGTGCTTCTGCCTTGATCCCCTGCTGCTGCTGCTGCTTCAGGTGCTGCAGTAGATCTGGTGGGTACCATGTCGGAGGGAACTTGGAGGGGGGCACACTAGTTCCCACACAGCTGCTCCTCCCTCCACAATGAACAGCACTGTCCCTTCTGCAGCACGAATCGAGAGCAGGTGCAATCACCAGTTAATTTCTTTACTTCCAGATCATATAGGAAATTGTTATATAGTATCAGGCTTTGTACTATGTAGAACCCCACTGGAAATGCTTCCATTTGGTAATGATTTCTCATTGCTTATTTCATTTTGAAATCTCTTTCAGACAGCTCTTATCTGACATTCTGTAGGGTAATTTTTAATCGGAATGCCACGTGTTCCAAGTCAAATACCTAGGCAGCAACATTTATTAACCAACATTGATGAACATATCAAAAGAATTATGGTAGCAAATGTTACCATAGGGGCCAGACTGAATGGGGTTAGCCAAACTGTAGGTGTTTAAATATTTCTAGGTCTTATTCTAACTTCTGCTATAGATAAGATGATAAATCATCCTTATTAGGCAGTTTCACTGAGTGTTATATATCATTTTCATCACAAGATTTATGATGAATAATATATGGATCCATTTTTATTGGGAGAAGCTATCAGTCATGGGACCTTCAAATTCCATTTTATTATATTATTTTTCATTAGCTTTATATTTCCATTTAGTGTAATATTTTTACGTGCTATAAGCCTTTAGTTTCTCTGTTTGATGGTAATGCCATCATTTACTTCATA